GTAAGGATTTTAACAGTGCCTCTGCAGCTGCTATTCAACCTTTCTCAGGCTGAAGGATCCCCCTGTACCAGCTTGATCTGTTCTTCATGAAACCACCAATTCTGTGACTGTACTTGAACTTCCTCTTCCTACTAAAGAATATTCATCTTACGCAGTGATAGAGGAAGAAAATTCTCGGGCTTTTAATATAGCTAGTGTTGGAACCACAATGCTCAATTTCAAGTGTTAGAAAACAGAAATGTTGCCCTGGGCTGCACAGCCTCCAGGAGTCCTGATGCCAGCACCTTTTCTGGTCCGCAAGAGCCCTCTTGGCCTGGGCCTGCCCTCACCTCCCTTTGCTTCCCTGGGCTGCACAGCCTCCAGTGGTCTGGTACCAGCACCTTTCCTGGGTAGACTAAATTCCAGGGGACTATGAGCGTCTCTCAAAATGTCCTGTAACTGTGGTGAAATCACTTGTCCTCTTGACCAAGGAGGCCATGAAGACCCCATTAGATGGACTTGAACTAGTGTCCAATCTACAAACAGGAGGGTCAACAGAGAGAAAACATTTCCTCCATGCTTCCAAGCAAAGCCAGCCATGGTTGAGTAGGACCTTTGACTTATCTTCACATAGACGGAACTGGTAAAAGAATGGAGCCAGGGGCTCCTCCCAAGCCCATGTGACCCCCGAGGAATAGATCCTCAAATGACCTTAAGAGTAAAAAATCAATTGGTTTATCTGGGCCAATTGTAGGGTCTTAAACACCCAAAAGGAAAAAGATTAAAGGGGTCAATTAATTTTTTTAAGAGTCCATATGTATAGCTAAAGGCGACATAACAAAAAACAATAACAGACAGGAGATAACTTCCTTTGAGTCACTGGCCAGGGTGGCCCAAAAGACTCCCAGACAGTAACCCAGCATAGAACCAGGAAAATGAACAGCAGACCCCAATCTTATCTAAAGGAATATTGGCAAGTGATTGCTGCTAGATGAGGAACAGCTGATCTTCCTAAAACAAGGATCTCTCGATAGGCTGACTAGATTCAGCAGATGGATGAGCACTAGGAAATGGGTGGGGGTGCCGACAACACAGTGGACAGTAACAGGGATGACAGAGTATATGGGCTCCATTGGGGGGCGTGCTATGGGAGGGTGCCATTTGGGAAGTGGGTGTATAGATGAATGAAATTGTTTGGAATGTTCTGTATGATATGCACACAAAAAAATCAACAAAATTTTTAAAAAGACATATTTGAAGAGAAAGCATAAAAATCTACTTCATGTTGATTAGTAGAGGTCATAAACATTACCACTGAAATTTTCCTAATGACTCTGTATCCATACTCAGGTGCCAAGGATCCAAGTCTAACTGACTGTGACTAGTAATTATCAGATACATAGAGATTAGAGACACATGTGCAAACATCTAAGCATTAGTAGCATTAAAAATGTAGGAAACAGCATATTTTAAAATGAAATGGAGATCTTTAAAGGTCAAAAAGTCATTCAATTTTATGTCTTACAGGGTTTATACTGAGTTCAATATTGTATAACTGTATTAATTATATATTGTATTATGTACTGTATAACTGTGAACCTAAAAATTTGCAGCCACTTTTGAAAGAGATGTGTCCTTGCTCTGGAAATTGTTACTGAATATGTTAAAGCTGTAATGAAATGCTGCTTCTAATCTTGTGGTTATTAAATTTAAAAATGGAAGAAAAAAAGAAAATAAATAACTAGCATTTATAGCTAAGGAAATACACAGAAAAAAAGAAAACAGGAATGCCATCCATAAACTCATCATTTAGATAGAAAAAAATATTAGCTAGATTTTAAGAAAGTTCTTTTGTGCCATAAGCTAACAAAGACATTGGTGAAAGGACATATTAAGGGTTTATATTCCTCTGTTACAGATAAAGATAATTACTCCAAAGATCTACACTGCTGTAAATATAAATTTGTTTCACTGGAAACAAATAGTAACCTCCTCAGACCTGTGCCCAACACTCCAACCACTGAGAAAGAAGAGGATCAAAATTTATATGTTAACAGACAATTCCCAGAATGGGATGGCTCTTCTCACTCTTTCTGAAGATGGGAATTATTTTCTGAATAAATATATTGAAATAGAAATTGCCTTGGTTACTCTGTACTGATTATAATCACTTCAGATGAGATTATTAACTTAGTTTTCATCAACAATGTTAGAAAATCTAAATATATATAAAGTTATTCTAAATAGGAATGCTGATGTTTAATCAAGATACCACATGTCCACTAGTTGAGTCTTTAAAAATTGCACATGACAAGTCTCTTGATGATCACAAGATATTCTGCACAATGAAGTCTCAACAGAGGGTTATCATTATGACATCAGCCTTTGCAAAGTTTCCAAGCATGGTTCCCTAGTCAAACATCCCAGAAAACCATAAATGTGCCTTCTTGGGAACTTTCTGAGAATATTCCCACTTTAGTTAGCATATTACTTTTTTCACATGTGAAAAAACTTTTTGTCATTAACCCAAAGAAGTTACTACTTGAAAGAACTCATAATCACTGAGCCAAATGCCTCGAAATTTAGAGCAAGTAAAAGATACCTATGAACTAAGAAAGCTTTGACAGCTGTCAATGAAGAGTTGTCAGTAGATTTAACTTGAAAACCTTGCTAAGAAAAGATAAATGTGGCAATTAGACATTATGAATATGTTTCAGACAATTATGCTAGTAGATGTAACTTGAAAACTTCACTAAGAAAAGATAAAGTGTGCCAATTGGTGGGATACACAACAGAGCAACTGAAGAAACTACTATATAGACAAAATGAAACTTATATATTGAATCTGGTTCCTCATCCCTAAGTCAGCAATATCTGTAATGGCAATAATCTGTAAAAGAAGAATGTTGTATTCTCTGATGCAGATGACTCTAGTTTCAATCTCAAGATGTTGAAATTCCTGAAGTCCAATCAAAACTGTCATCATATATTTTTGTACTTTCATAGATGATATACAAGTTAAAGTGTTCTTTTAAATATGAAGACTTGGAAAGCACAAATGATGATGACAATATTCCCTTAGAAGAGAAGTAAGTATGTTACCAGCAGTGTGACTCTGCCTTACAGGGACACTAGAGATAGCTGGATTGGTGTGACCACAAAAACAAATTTGAAAATGAAATGCAATTTGGAATTTATGTCTCAATGACAATGAAATAATCACTTCATCTGGAGAATACATGCTTATAAAAGTGAATATTTTCTTCACACAATCCTGTTCAACACACAAATACCACATCTTATAAGATAACTTCTGTTATATGGCCTATCTTTTTAAACCCCCCCCCCTTTTTAAGATATACAAAGACATTTTCCAAAAGGGATGCCAAGTCTTCAATGTACAGGCTGAATTATAATACCAAATTTAGATTCATGAACATTAAATGATTAAAAGAGATTTTAAAATCCTTCCATTAAATAAACCAACTCAGAGAATGACTTTGTCCTGTGACTTCCTCTAAAAATTGACAATGTTTCTATTTAGAAACAAAAATCATGCGCCTATTACTATCTTGAAACTTCTTTTCCTGTTTTTGATGTTGACAGAATTTCCTGTATCAGTAAATACACTGTGGCCTGGTATAATGGTACAGACACTAGTGAGGATAGAAGATCCTGAGTTCAAGGGCAGCCTAAGCTATACAGCTAGACACTGTCTCAATCAAACAACCATCAAACAAAAGAACAGAAAAAAAAAAAAACCCACTGTAATCTTCAACAGTGACGTCTACTTGAAGTTAAAACATTTCTTCAGAAATTACTCTTATCTTTAAAATGTTCACTTAAAATATATTGTAGTATGTCTACAAAGAATATCAATGTATCTACGCCATGCCAGTTAACTTAGAGGAAGCTGTGAGCTGTATTTCCATAGCTGATGGAAGAAATGGATTTGTCCTGAGATGGAAACTCCTACTCAGACCAGTGCTGCCAACATTTCTCACATTCTCTGTGTCTGAGTCTGAAAATTCCATTTCTTCTCATCACACTGGGGAAGGGACAAGCTTTAAACACTGATGCCAGATTCCTTTCCCCTTTCATCTAATTAGCTAAACTTTCAAAGTCCATTATGCAACTATCAATATAACATCTGACATAATGTCATTTTTAAAATTCATCTGAAATGGATAATTCCTAGACCAAATACTGTTGCTCTATACCCCAATTCTTGTTCCTGGATGAATTTAGATACATAATACCAACGTCCTATCTTAAAAGTCTTTTGAGGTTGAAATAACATTCTATAGAAAACAATCCTAAAAACATTAAACCTACTAAATTTGATACACTCACTTTCTCAAGTTAATTGAAGAAAACAAAAATACTTATCAGGCCAGTAACTTTTTTATTGTTCCCCCTAAAAAAGTGAAATTTTCCCCTCTGAAGAAAATAGCTAATTGAAGTCTCTGCCACATAATTACCTTCTGTGTTTACATTCATTACCAAACGTGTCATTAACTTTAGACATGTAAGTACCTGAATCTCAAGGAAAGAACATGGTTTTTCCTCAAAAATGCCACTTACTTACTTGGAAAATGGGTGATTTCATGAGGCTGCTGATAATCTTGTCTTCTGGAGTTTCCATGGCCAACCTAAACCACCAAATTCCTAGCAGGCTTGGCTACGTATTTTTCAAGGGGCTCCAGCTCTGTATCAGAGGGTAAGCAGAAATGTGATAAATCTTAGGTTCCTTGAAAATGAAATATTTAGTGTGAATTTTTATTTTGTAATGAGAACACCATCATTTTTTCTTTTAATATCAATACTCTTGCTAGTAGACATCTAATTCCAGCAAAGAATTACAGCCTCCAAGGAGAGCCAGTGCTGTTGCCGGGTGGTTGATGCAACAATCTCCATAATGACCAGTGCTTCAGTGACTATAATGACCACTACTCACCTCCCAGGGATGCCAGTAAGCCCAGAGGAAAGACCTGTGAGAGTGCCCAGTGCCGCTGTGGCCCATGGCTGAAGATGGATCACCCAAAATTTATCTCCCTCCTGCAAGAGAGAATAGTAAAACACCAATGGAAGCAACCATTTTATTTGGGGCTGACACCACCATTCCTAGATCAGAAACAACTGTTACTTCGGAAGGAGACCACATTACTTCAGTAAATGACTATACACTAGACAGTGATTTCTCAACTACAGCCATCAAGCTTACACCTACAAAGGAAAGACTCAAATTAGAAGATGAAATTGAGACGAATATTAAATCAACAACTCTTTCAGGAAAGAAATTACCACTCCAACTGAAACTACAAACTCCACAGCAGAGGAGGCTATTACTGAAATTTTCATTCCAGTGAAAATTGGAAATATCTCATCCCAAGTTGGTACTGTTTCTTTAATCGATTTTTGCAGTAACATGACAAAAGAAGACATCCTCTTAGCTACCATCGACACAGAGGAGCAAGAGATCTCACCTGCTGCTGAGCTCACTGACACACTAGAGGACAGCACTGTCAATGTAGAGGATGCCTTTGAACTTCCAATTGAAAACACAGATGAAAACACAGAAACTGACGCTAGTTCCTCAACCAATTCCAAGGTTCCTGATGATGGGGCTGTCCAGGTCATGGACTCCTTTGTTCCTGAGGCTGAGATCTCTCCCTCTACTGAAGACAGTACCACCATTTCAGATACAACCATTCCTGCAGAAGAGAATGTAACTGAAATTGACCTAATTGTTTCAGAGGATACCCCCAATGCTGTGACTAAATTAACTGACTCTGATGAGGAAAAGTTTATCACTGGTTTTGAACTCACTAACTCTGCTGAAAAAGTCAAAGGTAACGCAGAAGATACTTTAACTGATGAAGAATCTACTGATGGGGTTAATGCTTGGATGGTGAAAGACATTACGAATGAAGTAGAGACTCATTCTGTTTTGCTTACTGCTGTTGAATCCAGGTATGACTTCATTGTCCCTGCCTCAGAAGCTAAGAACACCATGGAAGAATCAGCCGCTAACACAACAGAAGATGTGTCTGAAAAATAACACAACAGAATCTGTAACTGAGGTCACAGAGGCATTTACTGAAGCGACCTCTATATTAGATAACGCCAAACACATGGAGAACTCCCCTACCACTGACATGGGCATCTTTAAACTGCTGAAAGAAGATCCCGATGAGCTCATGATGTAAAGGCAGAGCATGTGGAGGAGGCCATGTAGAAGTATACAGTAACCTAGAAAGCAAGTCTTAATGTCTAAGAAGTTTACTCAGCAAGCAAAAATCAAAAATCTAAAAAAAAAAAGAAAAAGAAAAAAAATAATGTGGACAACAGTAGAGTACATTTAAGAAAAATTTTAAAACAATCAGCACTTCCTTAGTATTACAAGTTTGAGTTTTCTAAAAAGAACTTAATGTAAAATGGTCCATACTAGACTTCAGAGGTATGAAGACAGCAAGAGTGAAGGAGCCTATGTCCTATAACATTTAATGATGTCTGCCATGCTAGCTCAGTTATGTAACTTTACTATAATGTTAAAACATTTTCTGAAATTCTTATTCTCAGCATTTTCCTTATTAATACCACTAAGTGATTGTCTTTCATTAACAATATATTTGTAACCATCACTAATGTAAGAATTAAAGTTATCCTGTAATTGCTTAATTTCCATTTGTAAGATAAGAAATCATAGTTCTTTACTCATATTGAATGTTAACTAGAGCAGAATTTTATTTTATATGTGTTCATTTGTTTGAAAAATGCTATGCATAGACATAAGCATCAATTTAACTTTCTCTGTTGAGTTGCATACTTAACTTTCATTACTTATTTTTCAGGTCTTAAACATTGAATACTGTGCTCTTCTTAGGCAGTTCTTAAACAATTCAAGGATGCATATCCCCATTCTTTTCTGATGCAGACTTTTCAAACAGGTCTGTTTTCACTGTGCTGATTTTTCTTCAATAAATCGTTCTGACAGCAACGGAGGTACTGTGTGTGGTGTGTTTGGTGTTCTGGTAAAAAAATTCTCAAATTAAGAGATATATAGGAAAAATGAAAATTCATTGTTTAAAGAATAACTTAGCTCAAGTAACCAGAAATGGAATTCTTTCATCACCAGAAATAGAATTCTTCTGTAAAGATCCATAATTTTGCCAGGCAAGGCAATGCATGCCTTTAATGCCGGCACTCAGAAGTCAGAGATAAAGGCAGGCCAATCTATATGAGATCCAGGGCAGCATTGTCTACATAGCAACTTCCAGGCTAGGAGGGTCTACAGGGAGACCCTGTCTCAAAAATAAAATAAAATAATGTAAAATAAAATATAAAATAAAATAAAATAAATCCTCCAGGCTTGGTGATGTACACATTTCATCCCCTGGCACTCAGGAGGCAGACGCAAGCAGAGATCAAAGCAGGCCTGGTGCACATAGCCAGTTCCAGGCCTGCTGGGGCTACAGGGAGACCCTATATCTAAAACTAAAACAAAACAAAAACAAACAAAAAACATTTTATTTTATTAAAAATGAAGAAATAAAAAATAAGCCAAAGCACTGAGTGAATAGCAAACAATCAAATTGGGAGGGGAAGTTAAAATTTTGTTCTCTGCTGCTTTACACACTTTAGCTGTTAAGATTTTTTTTTTTTAGATCAGTTCTAAAACTAAAACAAAACAAAAACAAACAAAAAACATTTTATTTTATTAAAAATGAAGAAATAAAAAATAAGCCAAAGCACTGAGTGAATAGCAAACAATCAAATTGGGAGGGGAAGTTAAAATTTTGTTCTCTGCTGCTTTACACACTTTAGCTGTTAAGATTTTTTTTTTTAGATCAGAGATTATGAAATAGCTAACAGTTATTGAGCCCTTATTACAGGTCATGCACTACTACTTATATTTAGAGTCACTTTTGCTTGTCATGATCACACTAGGAAAAACATTATTACTTCAAAGTAAAGTTGCTCTTTGCCCTGAAATTTGATTAAAATATCTTTAAGACACAAGGTATATGCAATTATCAGAGGATATAAAGGAACTGGTGAGGCAAGGAGAAAGAGCTAAATTGTGAATTAAAGAATGGATATATGTCAGGCATGGTGGCACACACTTTAATCCAAACACTTGGAAGGCAGAGGCAAGTAGATATTTGTGAGTTCAAGGCCAGTCTGGTCTTCACTAGAGAGCTTCAGTCCATCCAGAGCTACATAGTAAGACCCCATCTCAAATTAAACTAAATTAATTAATTAAATAAGTGATATGAAACAGAGGCTTGATTTTCAACTACACTATGCAAGAGAGACTGATATATCCTCGGAGTACTAACATTTCAGAAATGACCTCAGCAAAACTGAGAAAATGATGGAAGTAACTGGCAAAGCCCAGCTCTGCAATCTGTATGACACCATAGCCAAAGTCCAATAGCACTATTTTGTGTGTGAACCGTTGATGAATGCATCATTCTACAAGCACAGTGGTCCTCCATTTACTCTACCATCCCTTGTTTAAGTTTCTGGCAACTGATTATCTCACTTCTGGTCTTACATTTACCAATTAATTATGCTCCTCAGTTCTCTCTCTATAGCCTATTACTGCCCTCTGTCTTTATTAAAGCATCCAAACTCAGCAAGAAACAAGGCTATTAGCAGCTCTTTCCCCTGCCTACAATGCACTTGAACTTCTGTACTCAGCCACTTGCTCACTCTGTAAACCATGTTAGAGCCAAGCTTCCAGAGTGAAGAAACCCATACCCACTGAGCTAATGAGTACCTAGTACGTGGTATGAACCTAACAGATGTTTGAAAATAAAGACATAAGAATCATTTTAGTCTCAACAACATTGACATTAAAGGAATAGGTAAAATTGACAGCTACCATTTAATATAAAGTTTCCAACTCCCATTTGCTATACAATTGTATGCCATATTTTCTTAATAATACAATCCTTTTTTTACACATTTGTATACCATAAGGATTTATGTGAGGCAGACTTTACTCCCAAATCCAGCAATGAAGTGGTCACTCTGTGGCCCATATGCCTCAGAAATCAGACATAAACCAATCAAAGAAAGGAGGGTATGAAAGGGACACAGATGTCTAGGAGATAAGCTGTATTTTTTTTTTTACATTACTGGCATGTTATTTTGATCTTATCAGACAACTGAAGCATAAAAGAAGTCTACCTTGAAGTTGGCATTTCCCCTCTTTAGTATTCTGTCTTTCAGCAAAAGTCTTCTCTGAAGCATTGCCTAATACAGGAACTGAGGACTCATCCCCCATCTCTCATTTCCCATACCCAGTAATTACAAAGCTTTTGTCATACTGAACACCTTTGCATTTTAAATATCACAAGAATCAATCTGCCCCCATTCCCATGACCAATTCTTTATCCCAAGATCTATCAAGTAATAATATTACATTTCTTGTAATATTACTCATTTCAAAAATTTGTTCTCACAGTGCTGTAACAGAGTACCTTAAGGAAGAAAGGAAATATTTATTTGGGCTCACAGTTTAAGGGGACAAAGTCTATAATAAGAGGAGAGGCATGTGCTCAGGTGGTTCCATCATACTGAGGGTATATGCCTGGGGCGCTTCACCTCTTCACATCATAGCAGAGATGGGAGAGGAAGTAGGGACAGAGTATTAACGTCAAAGCCCACTTCCCAGTGACCCAGTTCCTCCAACTAGACACCATCTTCTAATATTCCTCTCCAAATAGCCCCACCAGCTGGTAACAAAATATTCAAATGTGTGAACTTGGAATTTTGGAAGACATTTAGTATTCAAACCACAATATTTTGTCTCTGGCTCCTGTAAGCTCCTGGGCATTGAGTTCAACTTCAAAAGTCCCTAAAGTTCCAACTCCATTAAAAAAAAATCTAAAATCCAGTCTTTTGAGACTCAAAAGAAACTCAGTTGTGAGATCCTGTAAAATAAAAAATAAAGTTACACATTTTTAATACACAATACCACAGAGTTAACATTCCCATACAAACAGGGAGGAACAGAAAACAATGAGGAAAGACCAGACCAAAGCATGACCAAAATCCAGCAAGGCAACATCAAATCCTGAATCCCCATGCCCAGGATCTGGGGCTCATGATGGCATCATTTGGGCCCCAACAAGCTTGAGTAGATCCATCTCTCCAACCTTTTTGCCTGTGGCACATGTGGCCCCTCTCTTGGGCCAGTTCCAACCAGTACCTATAGCTTTCCTCAGTAAATATTCTATGTTTTCCTGCATCTCCCATATTTTAGTTACTATTGCTATGATAAAATTTCCTGACATACACAACTTAAGGAGGAAAGGTTCATTTTTACTTAAAGTTCCAGAAGGACATAGGCCATCACTGTGGGAAGGCATGGCACTAGGAAGGGAGGGATGGCATCAGGAGCAAGAGGCTGGACACTTCGCAAGCAGAGTATGCAGGAAGTGGGTCTAGACTATAGACCTCAAGGCCCACCCCCAGGGATGAACTTCCTCCAGTGAGGCTCTATGTCTTAAAGGTTCCACAACCTTCCCAAACTGTACCACCAGCTGAGGACCAAGTATTCAGAAACATGAGCCTATAAGGGACATTTGACATTCAAATTGCAACATCCACTATCCGGAGGTCTTCATTGCAACTTAGGTTTCACCTTCACAGCCTCACTCAAGTTTTCAGGACATAAGAAAAATAAAGCCGGATTCTCTGACATAGCTTAACATGAACAACATTTAGTCCAGTTCCCTGGTATAATCGTTACTTCTGAAACTTCTTCAGCTCAGCCTTCCCAGTCCACACTTCTGTCAGTATTCTGCTCTTCTGAACATGCACTGAAATGGACTGTTACCATTCTAAGGCTTCACTAGTCCACAGCTCCAAACCTGTTTACATTCCTTCTACAAACCAGTTCCATAGTCCTATGAACCACATGGTCAGGTTTATCACAGAAACATCTCCTTAGCATATATTCTCTATTAGTTACTTTTTCTCATTACTGTGAGGTAATATATGACTAAATAAAAGTAAAGGAGGAAGGGCTTGTTTCTATTTAAAATTGTAGGGGGTGCAGTTCATTATAGAAGAGAAGGTATGATAGCAGGTAGCTCCAGGGTGGCAGGAGCATGTGCCTGGGACTCCTTGCCTCCCTATATTTCAGCAGAACAGGAAACAGGACAGGATGCATCAGTCAAAATAAATATTCAAA